GGATCTGGTCTGATTTAATCCTGTCGATTAAATCCTGAATTTTAAAAGGTTTCGTTGTTTGATTTGTGGCTCACATAAGATTTCCCCATGCCTCAAATAGGTTTGAGGAATTTGGAAAAAGATAATCATATTTCTATAGAATAGAATAACCGCTAATGTGGAACAGAATAAATCAGATTTTTAACTGGTTATATGACTGGATCCATTTACACCCAGACGTGTGTCTGATTAAGATAAAAATTGATGTAAATTCAGGGTTTTCAGGATGGCTGAAGCCTCCCTAAAACTGGCCTAAAGATATAATAAATAATAAAGCATTGCAGCAGGAACAAATGGATGGAGCGGTTTTCCTCACAGGATGCTCCTCATTCTGGAAATAATGGGAATGGGTAAAAAATGCAAACATGCTTCAAATGAGAGTCAAAGGATGGAATCGGGTGAAAGAAAATTAGCCCAAGGTTATTTGATGTTGGACTAGAAACTAAAATTAAGACAAAAACAGATTAAAACCAGATTAAATGTAAATCATCATCGTCTGTGCCCCCAAAAAGGCTCACACAATTTTTTTTAAAGCCTAAAACACTCATCCTTCCCTCCAGTCTTATCAATCCAAGTAAATCTCAGACTAAATGAGTAAAAATGTCAGATGACAGGTGGCTTTTTTTTTTCAGATTACAGAGGACAAGCTGTTCTGTAAGGTGTAACCCGGCCAGCAGGCTGGTAGAGTCCTGGTCTGATGCCAGTTCAGTGTTGGTTTCCAGGCCTGGTCCCGGCAAACAAAAGGCAACAATGGAGAGACGGAGAAAACAAACCCCTCTGTTGTGTAACGGGGGAGAGAAATCTGACGGCCGTTTTTTTGTGAGGGGAGAGAGAGAAAAGGTGTCGGGCCTCCGAAGACAAACGCCATGACCTCATCCAGCTTTACCTCAGAGGTGGACAGATGGACCTGCGTCTGTGGGGGGGGAAAAGCCGGCCAGATCCTTGTTGTGAGAGGCCGGGTCAACACGGCGTGGAGGAATGTGCATCTGCAGCACATCGCTGGTTTCAGGACTAGGACCAGAGCACGTGAGAACCAGAACCAGTCAGCTCTGATTCAGACTCAGACGGTGGACGGGGAGGACTCAGGAAGAAGCCAAGAACAGACTGGAGAGGTTAGAAAAGGGAAGATCCAACCAAAGCAGAGCTGAGAGGCATGAGAACCAAACCAGGAACCGAACGCCTGAAAGAATCTGAAATACAGAATCAAGTAAAGTTCAACCAGAACGCCGAAGAAGTGTCCAGGGAGAAAGAAACACTTTACATCTAAAGGAGCCCAGCAGAACTACGGGGGGTTTCAGGGTCCCTGAGCATCTATAAATATCAGATTTATCAGAAAGGAACGTCTGCAGCCTGATCTTAAAGGTAGAGAGACGTGTAAGACAGGATTGAAATAAAAATAAATAAATTAAAAAATAAAATAAAGACATTTTAAAAAATATTTTAATTTAATTTATATTTTTTAATCAATGAAATAAGATAAACAAATAAAAAATAAATAAACAAAATATTAAAAAAACATTTTGATTTAATTGAATTTGTTTAAATTAAGATAAATAAATAAGAAAATAAATCAAATAAATAAATAAAAATGTAAATGACTTGATGTTTGACTTTGACCTGATGTGTAATATGATTTTTCTGTGTTTTTTTTTTACAAATAAATGTGCTGGAAATTCTTTGCAAAGTGCAGCAGATTTCTTTGGATTGGGTCCAGTGATGCTCAGAGACTCGGCTTGTTTATCCCGGCCAGAGAAGCCGTCACCACTTTCCTCGTTCGTGATCACTGACTCCAGGGCTCTCGTGTTGTCCCCGGGGAGACTGCTGTTTGGTTCCCACAACAATGAGCTCATCGCTGACCCCCCCGGCCTGTATCCAGGCTCAGAGTGAAAGCAGATCCAGGACACCTTTACAATCCGGGCCGCCGAGGCTCAGGATAATTAACACTTCATTAATCCAGCACGTGTGATCAGGGGAGCAAACCAGGAGCTCTGACAGCCTCTTTCAAACATAAAATATACAACAATAGGCAAAGAAATTGAATAAGAAATCACTTTTTATTTAAAACAAAAACCCTACTTTTTTTTTACCACCAGACATTTCTATTAATGATTTCCATGTTTGAGAAGTTAAATGGCCATAATGCACATTTTTAAACAAATACTGCTCATTTAAACCCTTCCCGGTGGCTCGTCTGTTTATTTATTATTATCCAGAACATCTTATTCCTGCTGTTTTACGGCTAAATAGAGAAATGTGAAGAGGATCCATCGATGCCACAGGCAGCAGAAGTGCTGAAAATGTACTTAATTTATTTCAAAATAGACCCTAAAATGCACCCAAACTCTGAAAGCTCAGATGTGAACGGCACCAAAGCTGTGTGGGAGAGAAAGCAGATCAGGGCTGAAATCAGGGTAGAAAACAACCAAACCAGAAATCAGAGGCCCACAAATGGTGAGAAAGCAGAACAAGAAACAACATAAGCAGGAAAAAATACCCTTTTTATATCTCTATTGACAATCAAAGCATTGTATTTCTTACAATAATCCTACAGACCCTAAATAAAGGCCTTTACTCCGACTCTGAGGAAAAAAAAATAGGACTGAATTGTGATAAAAGCTATAAAAAATTAGCTCTCACAAAAGATTTATGTGTTAATCCATTTAAAACCCCATAATCAGTCAGTAGGACGCCTGTGCTATTTGGTCTAAACATCCAAATCTCTGTTCTGAGGTTTGAAAGTTTGAGGCAGTTCAAGTTGGGATGTCGTTGGGACAAAACAAAAACGCTGTAAGGACCAGTTTGGCTTCAGGATCACATTTTTATCAGGAATGGACGCATGGAAAATGTGCACGTTAATGGACGACCCTGTAAGTCTGCAGCATTTTGCACAGTGGATTTGAGATTTGGCCCATTTTCTTTAAATTCCAGGCAGGTTTGGGGTTCAGTCAGAGGGACTCGATGTTAGTTGCAAAGCGCTGAATCATAAACAACAGGAGGATGAGCTAAAGCCTCAATTAAAACCAGTCTATCTGAACAGCACAGAAGAGCAACGACCATGAAAAAAAGGAGGAAAAAGAGCTAGAAATAGGAGCTAATTAGAAGTCCAGAATGATCCTGATGGTTAGATCTGTACTTTTTCCTGTAGGTCCATTTTTTGGCCGTGTCATAAGTCCTGTGGTGGTGTGTTTACTTACACTGTCCACAGTCCGGGGTTGCATCGCATGTCCCTGATGGGGGGGAGGTCCTGACAGTGGTGGTGCCCCCCCCCCCCCCCCCCCCCCTCCACCTGTATCCACTTTCACTGGCAGAAAGTCTCCTCTCAGGATTTGATCAGATCTTATCAGGTGATTACTCATCGCTCTGTCATTTTTGGCCAAAGAAAACAAGCTGAAGCGGTAATTTTATAGTATTCAGTAGCTCTGAAGGCTGGAAGATAACACTCAATTATGGTGTTTTAAAACTTAAGAGATATGCTGGACACTTTCTTGAGATAATAGAGAGAAAATGAAGAGAAAATAACCATATACTTATTGGTTAAAAGCTTCCTGTTTCTGTCAGTCCGACAGCACTAAGGAAAGGTGTCACTCTTCCTGGTTGGAGATGAGTGAAACTGAATTAGTCAGATAAAGTCATCATTGTTTGGTGGATTTTAAGAACAGAAGCTGAGCCAAAACACCCCAAAGTGAGGGAGGTAAAAGGATTCAAATCAGAAATACACATAAAAAATTACCATCATTCAACAGGGAAAACAAAAGCAAGAAGGCCTAAAATGATGTCCTTTAAAGTATTAAAGAAGACAAACGTATTCAGTTGGATTTCTGTGCTGGTATTTTTGGAAGTAATTCTCTTCTTTTTATTCCTTTTATCCAAATATCTTGAGTTTTCTCACAATATCACAGTGAAGTAGCTCTGGCTCTTTTTCTTGTGTCAGAAGTTGTTGTTTTCCCAGAACGATGTCTCTGAGTTGATAAGCTGCTACAACAAAAACGCCGGGCACCAAAACCAGAACAACTGGAATTTCCTCATTGCTTTTAGCGTCATTTACATCTCCAGTAATCATTTTTAACAACAACGTCATCATATCCTTTACACACCGTTTATTAAATCCTTTTAATCTGAGACCTTTTGCATCATTTAATGGTAAAACTGCTCACAACCCAGTTTTACACACACAGATATACCTGAAGACAGCAGGAAGAAAACTACACCACAATAATTCTGACTTATTACAGTAATAAATAAGAAATATTAAAAAAATATTGTTGTTTTTCATTCATATTTTGTTAAAGGGCCAAATAGAGACTTCAGGCTAATCAAAATAAATCTATTTTTTCTGGTGGCTGAATCAGAAATGCTCTCCATGAAGGGGGGCTGTAAGAAGCCATGAAGGAAGGAAACAGGAGGAAAGGCCGAACTCTGCCAGAGGAACCAGAAGTGGATGAACCCCAGCAGCTCTGATGGAGGGATGGCTCAGAGATGGAGGAGAAAGGACCTCAGAGATGGAGGAGGAAGGAGCTTTCATTCTAACCAGCATTGAAATTGTCACTATTTATAGATTGTAGTGTGTAGTTATTGTAGTTTACACATGTTTATAAAGAACAGATGCTAATTTTTCCTTGTTTTACAGACATTTTCTAATGTCAGCAATGCTGTCTAAATATTTTTGCACAGTAAAATTGTATATTTTTAGAGTATGAATCACAAAGATGCCTTAAGTCTTTTTTAACTTGGGTCCAACAGTTGGCCGCTGCCTCCCTCTAGTGGACAGTTAAAAAACTACAAGTAGCTCAATTTAGATTTCGATTAAAACGCATCAAACATTTGTTTGCTACACCTCTTCAGTTGTGATTAAATGACTACATTTAGACACTTTTGTCGTTGATAAGAAGCCACGGCTTGATAAAAAGGTGAGCTGTCTCTTTAAATCTCCGGAGAGGCTCATTATTTGGCAGGAAGTTAGCCGCAGCTAACCGGAAGTCCAATGATGAGGACTCTCTGAGGAGCAGGAATTGGCCAAAAGCAAGAAGTCCAAACACAGTTTCTAACTCGTAACACCCCTCCTGAGAAAGGTAACGCCGCCGGTGTGAGGGGGGGTAGCTTTAGCCGTTAATTCCCGGTTTCCGCCGCCTTTAGCCCGCGTGGCGGGCCGTTAGCGTGGCGGGGTCCCGCCGCTTTGTGTCGGCTCTAAAACGGCCCAATGTGCCTCCGATACTGCCCCGCAGAGACTACAGTCAAACAAACCCAGCTCTAAACGAATAACGACTGAGTTTGAGCCCCGGGCCGCGTGTTTGTGGCCGTTATGGCCGCGGACCGGTCACCTTTACTTCCTGTGTTTGGCTCTAAGACGCTTACAGAAGCTTTGGGAACACTGGAGGGATTTAGTCTTTCGGGTTATGTACTCAGACACCAGGGGAGGAAACTTACCAGTAATCACTGGAGATAAAACAAACTTTCCCTCTGCCTTATGGAATTTGAACTGTTAGTCGACTATTGTTGGAGTAATTGGGTTATACTGTGAGTCCTTTGGTTGTTTTATACTGGAAAACACTGGTTAATGAACCTAATAAAGCCACAATACTTTACTTAAAGCACCAAATGAATCATAATCATAGAATACAATATTTGGTATATTGTATGTGCAAAAATCTCTCTTTTGTTTGAGTCTGCAGGCAGCATTTTTCAACCAAAATATCCTTATTTATTTATTACTAAACTGACTCTATTTCCCCTCATAAAGGATTTTAAAAGTATTTTAAAAGGTTTAATGTGCTTATGGGATGTGCCAATGTTCCTTCATGTCCTTGTTTATTGTCTGTTCAATTTGCATTGATTAGTTTTGAGTTGTTTTGCTTCCACAATGCTCGGAGAGTTTGCATTATTTTTATTTGTGACAAATGGGGAAATCACTTCAGTTGGTGGAGAATTTGACCATTTATTTTTCCCCTTTTCTGATATTTTAATCCTTAATAGATGTTAGGTTTTGGCAAGTCTGAGACTCTGCTTCAGTCAAATGAAACAATAGCCAGAGCTTATTTTAGCTGAAACAGCCTTGTTAGCTCTGAGGGGAAGCAGCTTTTCTGGCGCAGCATCATGACCTCCTTTTCCATCCTTGTTGCTGCAGGAACAGGCTGTTTCCACCCGTGTTGGACCACAAGTCAGAGGCAGAAATGGTGAGTCACATCCAGGAAAAGCCTCGAGTGGAGATATGGAATCTGAGGCAAAACCCACACACAACCGGGCATTTAGCAAAAAAAACAAAACAGGATTTCACTCACAGTCGGAGACACAAAGTGTGTAATTTATCCAATATTTCGTCCAAGATATCAGCTCATTTTGAATTTAAGGGCACCAGCGTGTCTGGAAAGAGTTGGGACAGGTCCATGTTTCTAGATGTGCAGCTTCTCCTCTTCCTATAACATCTGTCTGTGCACATCTGGAACAGAGGAGGCTGCTGCCATAAAATTCAAGATGAGCTCATATTTCTCCTGCAACAGTAAAACATTTGACTCTTTTTATTGTTAATATGTGAATATAGCATTATTTTTTAGATATTTGTTATGAGGAGTTGGGGTTAGTCTCAGAAAACTGGGGGTGTCCTTTTGTAGCCCATTCAGTGGAGGCACAGATCCCCTGGAAACCGGAGCAGGTGGCCTCCCTTTTTCACCGGACTCCTCTTCCTCCTCTGTGTTTCAGTCTTCAGCCGTGGATCTCAAGACCAAAGAGGAGAAGGACGCCGAGTTGGACAAACGAATCGAAGCCCTGAGGAAGAAGAATGAGGCTCTAGTCAAGAGGTATCAGGTATGTGTCTCCATGTCTTCACCTCAGCCCAAAACTCTGAAAGGCAGCTCATGTTATTGAGATGTTTGCCTCATTAATGAAGACTCAAAGATCCATTTATCCAGAGGAAAACTGTGCTTCCATTGCGATACAAGGTGAAAATAGACACAACTAAAGTAGTGAGCTATTTTTTAAAGTGACCAGTCATAAATTAGAGCAGCTTAAAACACAGCAAATAATTAATAAAGAGAGAAATGAAAAATGATAAAGTGACAAGAAGTAAAGTGGTAAAGCCGCTACCCTGCAGGTTTGAGATGTTTCCCTGCTTTAGAACACCTGATTTAGAATAATTGATAATAAAAAAATAATAAATGATTTAGAATAATTCTGCCCCTTCGAGACATTAAACATAATCCCACTAATCAAATACAATCCAGGTTTATTTGTCATACATGTTTATATGTAGATATGATCAAGTTTATCCTGAATTTTTTTTGGCAACATCTCCTGATAGTTCTCAGGTTTCACATTATTCCCGGAAAAATGGGTCTTTAAAAAAAAAAAAAAAAACTCTGTATGTGATTTGGTTCAAACAGGAAATAGAAGAAGACAAGAAGAAAGCCGAGCAGGAGGGCATCGCGATCACAACGCCCCGTAAGCCCCGCCCCCACGAGCCGGAGCCGGACCGGTGGAGGACGGAGAAGGAAAACTTCACCGTCACAGTCGACCTCTCCAAGCCTGTGGGGGTAAGGCGCCGGCTAACCGCCACAGGAAGCTGCAAACAGACGTTTTTTCACGGGACCCTGGACACACAGCTGGTCTTTAGCTGGTTTGCTGATAACTGTTAAACCACCAGAGATTTAGCCAAAGCGAGTGCAGCTATTCATGTCTAAGACAGGTCTGCTCTTCTTTGATATGCTATACGACCCCGTTCCCGTTGGAAAAACCTGCCCGGGATCCAATATGGCGGCTGTAAAGATGGCCGCCATTTTCCAGACACGGCTTGGATAACAGGCCCTCCAATCTGCTACTATTCAGATGTGTCATTTTCCCTTTAGTTTAAATAAGATAATTGTGTCTGGCTATAAGACTCATGCATTAGGTTACTGTACAGCAGAGGTATTAGCAGAGGGTTAAACAAACAGAGGCCCAGGTTCCATTTGAATTTTTTTGTATTTTAATCTTTATTTTTTATCATATTTATATTTACATAGAACATGTATTCATTGTTCAAATTTTTTTATCTGAATAATACTTTGAATTTTGATTCAAATTTAATTCTTATTTCCATCTTTTTTTACTTAATGTTTTATATTTTTGTAGATTTTTTTAATTAAATTAGAATTAAACTTAAACTTAATTTAAATAATTATATTTGTCTGAATCTTTTCAACTTGATTTAATTTTTTTAGTCATCTTGATAAATGTTATTTTTATTTTTTATTGAAACAATTTTTGTTCTATATCAGTTCTGAGTCAGAGGACCTTTTGAACTGACCTGAAGGGGGTGAAAGACATTTTTAATCCCGTTTTTGTCTGCGGGCTTCTTACAGGACAAGAGAGTCGTGAATGACTGGAAACCCGGAACACCTCGAGGTCGGCGGACGCCCGAGGACAGCGACGCCCACAGAGGCCCTGGCGACGCCCACCGAGGTCCTGGCGACGCCCACAGAGGCCCTGGCGACGCCCACAGAGGCCCTGGCGACGCCCACCGAGGCCCCGGCGACGCCCATAGGGGCCCCGGCGACGCCCACAGAGGCCCTGGCGACGCCCATAGAGGCCCTGGCGACGCCCACAGAGACCCCGGCGACGCCCACAGAGGGCCTAGCGATGGACACAGCCCCCCCCGGAGGACGGGGTCGGGCCGAGTGGGCCGTGGAGGTCAAAGGGGAGGGGGGGGGGGCGGGGGAGGGGGGGGGGGGGGGCGGGGGGAGCGGGGGGGGGAGGTCCAGGTGGGGGGGGCGGGGGGGGGCGGGGTCGGGGGGGGGGACTCTCTTTCTGAGGGCATCCGTGTCTTTTTTAAGCACCCCCAAAAAAAGCTGTCTGAAAATCCATTGTGTGTCCGACAGGAATGGGAGGAGAAGCGGCGGCAGAACATCGAGAAGATGAACGAAGAAATGGAGAAAATAGCGGAGTATGAGAGAGGACAGCGGGTACTGGTCTCTGCTTTTATCTCCTCCATACCGCCTTAAATGTCTGACATGCCCAGATGGATGTTTACCTGTTGGCTACTTTCTTTTCTCCTTCAGCCGTTCATTTTTTCAGTTTTTTTCTTGGTTCTATTATTGGTTTCTATTTATGCTTTTTATTCCCTTTAATTATTTATTTGTATTTTTTCTTAATTTTCTTTCTTTCATTTTTCATATGTATTTTTTTTTAAAATCATTCCTCCTTTTTTCTTTTTTTTCTTTTTCTTTATTATCTTCTTTCATCCTTTTTTCTATGCAATGTTCTTTTTTGTTCGTTGTTTTAAAAAAATCTATCTTTATTTAATTTCACTTTTTTAATTTTTTTGTATCTTTTTCTTTTTGTTTTACGATTGTTCTTTATTATTTTCTTTCAGTTTATGAATTTGTTTTGTTAATTTCTTTCTTTTTTCATTTTATTTCTTTCTTTATAAACAGTCTTCATAGCAGAGATTGGGTTAACAGTGGTGATTTATTTTTTAATTCTATCCATTTATTTTTTTACCCCAGGCGGACGGAGACAAGCCGATCCGTAACTTCCTGGACGACCCGCGGCGCTCGGGCCCGGCGCCGGACACGGACCGGAAGGAGGGCAGCCGCAGGCACGTGCGGAACTGGGGCGGGCTGGACTTCGACAACGTGAAGACGGGGCCGGAGCTGGAGCGGGAGCGGGAGTGGACCGTGAGTGTGGGCGCGCCGCCGGCCGCGGGCTGCCAGCGCCGGCCCCAAAGCCGTGACGCCATGCTGTCCGCCCAGAGCCGGCGGCCCGGTCCCAAGGGCTCGGTGGACATGACCATGTCCATGACGGGCCGGGAGAGGGCGGAGTACCTGCGCTGGAAGAAGGAGCGGGAGCAGATCGACGAGGAGCGGCTGGCACGCCACCGCAACGCCACGGGCCAGTGGAGGCGGGAGTGGGACGCCCAGAAGACGGACGGCATGTGAGGAGGAACCGCCATTTTGCCCCCGTTTGTTTAGCCCCCGAATCTGTGTCATAGGAATGATCCCACAGAGGGAAATTTATCATAGCAGAATAAAGGGAAAAAGCACAAGTACAGTGGAGGCATAAATAAATGAATACTTTTTATTTACAATAAAACAAAATAAATAAAGGTAAATTACAAGGGAGAGTTATTAAAACAAATAATAACACTATATAAATTACGCTGCCGAGTTCTGGATAATTTCCAAATTCAACTGTACAAAGACTACCAGAATAGAATAAAATAAACAATTAGATAGAAATTAACAGAGTTACCTCAAACAAGCTAACACAAGTAGTTTAAAAAAACAAATATAAAAATAAATAATTTGGTCTTTGTAACTATATGGGCAAAAGTTTTATTTGAAAAATTCTGCTGTAAATTAGAGGCATTATTTTACACATACACACACATATATATCTTTTTAAAACTTATTTAAACCATTCTGTTGTGTTTACCTGGTTAGCTGTTTGCTGCAGTTAGCCTGCAGTTTGTTTGCAGACTTTTTTACTAATTACCTAATAATTTTAATTTATTTCTTCATTGTTTACTTATTTTCTTTCTTCTCTGCCTTTATTTTAAATTCTTTCTTTTTGGGATATCACTTCAATAAGTCATCTGTAATTGAACACAACCAGGGACGGGGCTTTTTCTTTCTGTCGGTCAGGACTAAAACGCTGACCTGGAGGTTTGAAAAACCACTGATATCTGTTTGTGTCGACAGGTTTAAAGAGGAGTCGAATGTGGCTCCAGAAGGGACGACGTCAGAGCCAGGCGGCAAGAGAGGCGAGCGCACAAACACACACCAGCTCACCTTCATTCTCCTCCACTCACACACCCCAAATACCACCTCCCTCCTCCAGCTAATTAGCTGCTTATGTAACAGCCCGCTGTATTTCCCCGGAGTCCAAATGAACTTCAGCTTTAATCTGCGGCCGTTGGGTTCTCAGAAGAGCTTTTGGAAAGATCCACATTTCCTTCACGGGAGCCGGCTGACTTTGTCCCCCGTAAACAAATAAAAACACGTTTAGTTTTGGGAGCCATTCGTCACATCCCAGCATCAGGAGCCCCGTTCAGTTTTCTGTTGTTTCTAACAACAAAAGCCATCTGTAATCATCCAAAACGATGTGTTTGTGAGTTGACTATGGCAAGGAAAAAGGTCCTCCAGCAGGACCAGGGAAGAAACCTTCCTGGTCCTGGTTCTGTGATTTGGAGCCTTAAAATCTTCTGACTACTCACAAAACTGCCTCAGACTAAATTTGTTGATAATTACTGGCATTGATGCGGTTGAAATCCAGCTGGTTTCCCTTATTTGGACCTGTGTTTCTCTCTTATTTGTTTAGTTTAGGTTGTAAGATGATGCCTGCGGCATGTTAAACATGTCAGCTCCGGCTGTAATTTATGGAGCCACTGGAGTCTCTCCGGCCCCAGTGAGCTCTGTTCAATCTCCCATCTTCATCCTCTTTATTTTCTCCCCTCACTTATTCCCTCATCTCCTTCTGTACTTGTATCTGACTCTGTCTGACCTTTTCCCCTCCGTCCCACCCTCCCTTTTCATCCTCCTACCCTCCTCCTCTGTCAGAGCTTTTCTTGTCGTCTCATCCTTTAGAGCCTGTTTTTAGGACCCATCTTCCTTTTCTCCCTTTCTGTCATTTTTCTTTCTCCTCATCTTGATCTCTGACTCATTTATTCCTCTGTCACCTCTTCATCTGTTTTTTACGTTTTTTTTATAAAGAAAACCTTCCTTATATGGACTTTAACCTCCCATTTTCCTACATATCCTTGGACCACCTGTTTTGGATAATTAGTTATCACCCTTGAAATGAAAATAATTCTCTAATTGAACTCAATAAATCTGTCAGTTAAAGGAGTTTATGATGATTTGCTATCTGATTTCTAATGGAATGTGTTTTAGTGTGGTATCGTGGGAGCGTTTGTCTGTTTAAGACATCTTTTTCAGTGATAATTGCCCTAAAAAGCTTAAAATATAATTTTCCTGCATGTTAAACTCAGTCCTTTGACACTCTGTCTGTAGCTCTCCTCGTCCCTCCTTCTTTGGGGATGTTTGAGATATTAATCCTCTCCTTCCCAGTCAGTCAAAACACACATTTGGCTTTGTGCCAGAGTTCAGTCGGCTTTTGGCTGCTGTCACTGTAGGTCAGGAAGCGGTCGAGCTTCAGCAGCCAAAAGAGGAGGAAAAAAGACAGTAATCCCAGTTTCTATGTTTAAACTTTATTCTGAAGGTATCTAGCTATCCATCTCTCTTCCAATGGGAATGGCAGAAATGTGTCAGGAATCCATTGAAATAGCTGTTTTTTTAAAAATCTATCTAATGACTATTATTAAGCCCAGCTTTCTTTTGAAAACCTCCTCATTCAAATTCCTGCATTTTGTGAGTGAGAGGTTGTTTGAACTCTGATTTTCCATGCAGTAAAATCTCCTGGGTTGACTCTTCCTGTAAATGCCTCCCACAGATGACAGCAAGCGGCCTCCCAAAACGCCCACCTTTGGTGACTTCCTGTCCCAGGGCAGGAGCCAGGGCCCCCGGGGGGAGCGCAGAGGAGGGAAGGGCAGGGGCCAGAGGCAGAGCTACAGGTAATTTCTCCCAGATGGATTTTTATCTCCTCGCTTTGAAGGACGAGCATGAAGTGAACTGGGCCCAAAATCCTTTTTTAAACCCATCGCAAACATCGTCCTAATGCACTTCAGAGATACAAACCAGTTATTTTTAATACAAGAATAATCCAGTTAATGAATGAATGAGTTTTAAGGGTTTGAACCCTCATTCACAAACCTCCCATCAGCGTCTCTGGTTATTTCTGATGTGTTTGATCAGACATTCCCACAGGAGCAGTTCATTATTTTTGTTTCAGGGTTTCAGCTTTTCGCCTTTGAGAACAGGAAGGAGAAAAGTCCTCGATGTGTTTTTATTCGATTGTGGAAAGTGTATCAGGGTTCATACAATAATGGTCTCAGTTATTTCAGTTTATTTTGTGATATTTAGTTTAACCGGAGTGTCTGAACCTCTGATTCTGTGGACAGCATGCACGACAACCGCTGGGAAGGAGACAGAGAGGAGGAGGAGGAAGAGGAAGACAGGCCAAAGGAGGACAAGACGAAGAGGGAGGAGAGAACCAAGCAGAAGAAGAAGGAGGAGGCAGCAGAGAAACCCAAACGGCCTATAACAGAAAAGGTAGAACAAGGCTTTATGAGCATTAAAACCAAAGATAAAGGAAAAAGACAAACTAAGAGAAAAGACATTTTCCATGCAGGCACATTTAAGAGCTCCAACCTGAAAAAGACCTCATAAAGAGTCTGATCCTGATTCTCTGGAGCTTTAATTACAGAAATTAGATTTATTTTTCTTGATCTTAAAGAAGTTTCTCACCTTTAGCTTTAAACTAAAATCCCCTCGTATGTTTTAATTTAGATGTTTTCAGTGCTCACACAGAGAGTGGCTCAGCCCTTGAGTTAAGGGCCTGTTTCTGACTCAACAAAGATCAAAACTGGACAAAAAATGAGAGGAAAAAGTCGAAAATTCCCAAACAAAAACTCGGATAAAGCTCAGAAATCCTAGATCAGATTTACTAAAAACACTTTAAAGGCCGTCTGGCTGCTCCGAGGGAAAATCTGAAGAAATTAAATCTGGATAGAGACTTTTTAAACTGATCTTTATGCTTCTGATCCACTTTAAACCGCAGATCCTGACTCATCCCTTGAGTTAGGGGCCTTTTTCTGCCCAAATTACTCAGATTTAAGCGGCTGAACAGAGGAAAAAAAAAAACATTCCTGCAGTTCCAAACTTTTAACGTCGTTATTTTAAACTTTATTTCACGTTTCAATCCACTCTTTCTTTATTAATCATTGATTTTAACCTCAGTTTTACTACTTCTGAGGAGCCGCAGCTGGGCTGGTCACTGGCGTTCCCTCACATGCCTCCTTTGGCCTTTCCTCAGGCTGAGGAGAAGAACGGAGATGGAGACGATGAGGACGAGTGGGAGGACGCCAGTGAGGGCGAGGAGGAGCCCGAGGCGGCGGGGGGGCGGAGCGAGCCGGAGCCCGACTCCCCGAGAGACGGGAAGAAGGAGAAACGGGCCAAGGCCGGCTCGCCCACGTCCCCCAAAGCCAGACCCCCTCCGACGGCAGCGGCCAGCCCCAAAGGCCAGCGGACGCCCAGGCCCAAGGTCCACATCCCCCCCCCGGCAGCCAATCAGGAGGCCCCCGAGGGCGGCAAGCCCCTCAGCCCCTTCCTGCCGCTGGACAGCCACCGGCCGGTGTCCGACTGGGGGGAGGAGATGGAGATGCTGTCGCCCCGCAGCAGCATGGGGGGGGAGAGCCCTCTGAAGCCCCCCAGCACCGAGTCCAGCCCCCCCCAGAACAAGGACAAGGAGGGGGGGCAGGAGAGGGAGGACAGCCGGACCACCAGCCCCATCACAGCCACTGAGCCAGAGAGGGAGGAGCCAACAGGTGGTCCCCGTTTCTGACCCCCCCCCCCCCCAAAAGCCGGAAAAATATTTAATATGATTCAACATTTAATAATGATATTGCTGATAATAATTATGGTAATATTTGATAATAATGATGATGAGAATTATATAGGCCCTGAAGTGGGTCACTTATTGACTGAAATACTAATTTTCCTGAATTTTTAGAGCAGAAAATTGTTTAGCACAGCAGAAAAAATAGCAAAGAAATAATGTAGAACGTCCCTTTCGGCATTATTTGGATGGAAAAAGCTGCTGTCTGAGTAAAATGTCTGATGTTCAGATAATTGTGGGATTTCTTTATTTATTATTATTGTTATTTTTTATTTTATTTATTTATTTAAACTTTTTTTTTTTTTTTTCTAATGGAACAAACGTGTTGATTTTGGTGCAACTCAGACTTTTTAGACCAACCTCATTTAAAAACAAATATCCTTTGGAAAGTTTTTCTTAAAGAAACACATTAGGATATTAAAGGACCTCTGCTTTAGTTTTAGCTCCTTTTATTAGACAGGAATGAGTCCCGGAGCTGCAGCCAGCCCCGGTTTGTGTTCTCTGTGGGGGGTTACAGCCCTCCAGCTCAGTCCCTGTTTAGGGCTGAGCCCCTCTGTGATGTAATAGCCCCCCCCCCCCCCCTACCCCCCCT